TTGAGGATTTAGTTCTCAGATTAAGAACAATTCTTTGATTTGTGATGTTGGAATTTCACCCAAAGTGATTGAAGACTTTTGAAAAACAAGATCTATGCGCGCGCTGATCTATTCATTTGTTGAAATGAAGAAATGGAATTCATTAAATTTCATTTTCTCATGAATACCTTATAAATATTGATAATAAATCAAAGAGAATTCGACTAATGATTGAAGTGAATAGCGAAGTAGAGTAAAAGAATCTATAAAGAATTTTTCATTTTCAATTAATTATCTTCAATTTTTTTGAATAATCGGTCGCCATAAAAGGACAGAATTTATTAATTTCACCGATAATATATGCACACGTGAAATATATATATATATATATATATATATATATTATTATTATTATATATTATTATATATATGACGTGAAAAAAAAATTTACCACTGAAGAATTTGAAAATGCCGCGTGTTCTTTTTGTGAATAACTTCGTGTCACATATTGACCAATCAGAATTAAGGATTAGCGGTCAGGCAGTTTCGAGATATTTCGATATAAAACAACTTCACGTTTCTTTCATCTTTAGTAAAATAGGAATGTTCTGTTCTTATAGTTTCCAAGATATTTTCGAGAAGTCTTTTCTAATTTGTATCAGGATGAACTGAGATGACATTTTCCTACTTTTTGATGGCACAAACGAAGCAAAATTTTTCCGACTGATATCCAAACGCTTTAACCCTTAATTTTTCATTGAAATAAAATCCAACATTTTTATTTAAACACCACAGCCCTCATTCCAGCCTCATTGAACCCTAGTTTATCGAAAAATTTTCAATCATCTCATTATTCGATGCTTAAAGGCCTCAATTTGATCCCTCATGTTGAACTGGTAATAAATATTTCAAAAATCCTGAAAAAAACGAAACTCTACTCATTGGAATACTGAGTTTCAACATCGGATATAGATTCAGGATTTAAAAAAATTAATTCGCAAATCCACTTCCGCATCTCGCAAGACTGAGGCTTAAATCCCCTCGTCATTGAATTTCATGAGTTGTTCGTAAAACATAAAACATCATGTACCCAATAATTAATCTAAAAAAGTGAAAAAGAATCCCCCGAAAAGTGCAAATTAACGAATTTACGGAAATAGTACCATCAATAATGCCTTCCTGCTCTGTTTGCCACATGCATTTATATCGCCTTATTCGAGTCTCACGAAGTACAAAATACACCTCGGCCCCCCAAGCAAGGGGAAAGTGACTCGTGCAACTTTCACTACTCAGACTCAACTCAGTAGGTATACCAGTATAAACGTAGGTAGTCGACTCTTAAAATATGTTTCTCGATATTTTTTTCTCTCTCCTCGAGTTTTATACCCCCTTATCTCTTTTCCAACATTCACTTTCTTCGGGTCTTCGACTGCCGACATTGAATATCAGAAAAATGCAGCAGAATAGAATAAATATACGGGGAAATAAACACTAACTGACAAGAAATATATAACTTTTGTACAACGATTGGTGATCAGAAGCTGAGAGTGTCCAAGGACGCCTTCCTTGAAGCACTTGTCTCGTTCCGCGTTCCGCGTCTCTCAGTTAATTCGCATCATCATACAAATAATCACACTCGCCATCACTTTCAATTTTTCACCCCCTCCTCTTTCTCTCAGTCCCGGAAATTTTTAATAAGTGACATTTCCATTGAAGTCACATATTAAATAAATGAAAACTGGGAAATTAGTTCCATTATTCAGTAAAAATATTAGAAAAAATTGTAAAAATGAATCCATGAATTTAAAATTCAAGTAAACAATCAAGCGAGTTGTAAAATTTCATTAGTTTTTCCTCACTAAATTCAATACTCTAAGTGATTTCCCAGAAACTTTTAAAAAGTGATATTTCCATTGAAATTGCAGGTAAATTTTATAACTGAAAAATCACACCTTTCGTAATTTGATGAGCAAATGAATGAAAATTAAAATTAAGATAATTATTCAGTAAAAATGATAAAGAATTGAGGAAATTAATCCGCGAATTTGTAATTGATTGATAATTCCAGTAATTTCTGAAAATTCATAAGCTTTTTCTCCTTAAATCAAACGTCCCCTGAAAAATAACTACCAGATGCTCGGAAAATTGCATATTGTGTTACTGGTGTGTAAAATTCCAGTTTTTCGCACGTACGTGTATAATACTTGCCGAGTTCACTTTTCGGGGGTGCAGTGGGGGAAAGTCTTTGATTTGTTGCGTAGAGTGCATGACATTCAGGTCGTGGGTAATAATATCTTTCAATAAGAGTACGTAAAAGTGATCTCAAGGGTCACAGAACACTCTGCCCACGAGTGTCGAACCTTATTTTTCATCACAATATGTGGAAAGTGGGATGGGAACGTGCGTAAAATTTCATTTTCCGCAAAAGTGATGAAAAGTGGTTTTTCAAGTGATGAAATAGCTATTTTCGTCACGAGGCCGAAAAAAACTTTTCTCGAGTCAGAAAAGTTGTTTTCGACCGAGTGACGAACGTAATTTTTCTTCACAATGTCCGTAATCGGCAATCCGTAGTTGTGTCGGTCAAACGATGTGTTACGGACAGTGTAATGAAAAGTGTTTTTTTCTTACTTTGCTCCCTGATGAGCAGTAATAAAAATAAAATTTAAAAAAAATAGCAGGTGCACCTCGCGCGGGGAAAACACGACTTTCCCCATTTGATCCACAATATGCTTGAGGTGTGCGCCATCGGCGAGTGCTATCCTCCCAGAGGTCAAAGAACACATTTCCCTCGAGTGTCGAACCCTATTTTTCATCTCAACGTGTAAAAAGTGGGATTTTGCGCACACAACATTTCACTTTACACTCAAGTGATGAAAATACAATAATCATTTTCCCTAAACTTCTGTTCCTCCCCTCCAAACCCCCTGATCTCCCTAAAACCCCAAATAAATTAATCATCAAATCGTTCCCGATGAAAACTTCTCAACTCGCTTTACAACATGCCGCCGTACAAGTCGTTCTCGTTGAACCGTGACTGGTCTATCAAGGATACGTCTGAGATTACATCTTCCACGTCTCATACAAATATCGTAATGAAAGTCAATCTCTCTCCACCTCAATATTCCCCAAATAATAAACATCACCATAACAATTATCAATAACTCGTGAAGAGACTAAACACCAAAGAGTTAAAAAAAAGTGCAGAAAAATGATGAAATATTCGCTGAATAGCGTAGAATATATGTACGTCTGGCTGATACATGATGAGTATAGTTGAAAAAGACTGGGGGAGGAGAGGGAAGGCTTTGGTGCAGCCAATGCAGTGCCGCTAGTCGTCAGCTAAACAACTAAACAACGACAGTACAGGCCTGTAATTTGGTTCAAGGCTAAATGCTCTCGAACCTCTCCGCGGAACTAATCTCCCGTTGCGAGAGGCGCGTACACCGGCACTACGCTTCAACAGTTAAGTAACGAGCGGAATAGGATAGGAGGAACGAGCGCGGAACAATTTTTTATTTAATGAAAATCCTTCCGAAATTAAACATTCGATTGCCGATAAATTTACGATTTTTTAATATAACGGTTGTTCTGTTGAATGACTCGGGGGAACAGAAGGATGAATAGTGCGAGAAAATAATTTTCCTGTCATTTGAAAATTATTATGTTTTTTTCTTTTCATGGAGGGGGGGGGGAGGGGGGAAATACAATACAATTAATTTTCCATTTCCACTATTAATCTCGCCTACCATCAGTGTCCACCATCGTGGCGTGACAAGCATGCTCCCGTAGCCTTGACAGTCGACCCGACGTCGACACAACTATCCTATCCATTCTCTTTCATGTATACTGGGTATCTATAAAACGTTTGAAAATCATTATAACGATACGGCGCCGCCACGCGACTCCACTGTACACTTGGCTGATGACGTGCGATTCACGATTATTTTCTATTTTTTTGGTGTTATTTGTAGCATGTGTGGGAATGCCGGGGGATTTGAAGGAAATTTCATCTGAAATGATTTCCTTCCATAATAGTTTTGCTCCAAAAATAATGTACATTACCGGAGTAATCACAAAATTTGATCTGAGGATTATTTTCTTTTTTGAATGGAATTCTTTTTTTAATGGTTTTTGTAGCATGTGTGGGAATTTCAGGGGATTTGGAGGAAATTTCATGCGACGTAATTTTCTTACACAATAGTTTGGCTCCAAAAATTAGGTACACAATCGGAGTAATCGCGTAGAAAATCTGATCTACAGATTATTTCCTTTTTTGAATGGAATTCTTTTTTTAATGTTATTTGTAGCATGTGTGTGGGAGTGTTGGGGATTTGGGAGTGAATTTCATTCAAAATGATTTCATCCCATACCAATTTTGGTCCGAAAATGTTTTATACGGTTGGGATGATCACTCGTGAAATGTGGAATACAGATAGATTTGAAATTTCCATTAAATTTGGAGTGAAATCCAAAAAATTCCGCAACATTTCAGAGGTTTTATGAAGAAATTCATGAATTTCGTATCTTTCTTAAATTTCAATTTCATGGATCGATGAAGCAACACGATTGAGTAATTTTTCGATATATTTCCGGAATAATAATAATACATCCCAATTTTTTCACTCATTCAAACATTTGATGCAATATTCAAATGCTTGCCATTAAATATCAGGAAGTTTGTGGATTTCTCTGAATCCTTTACGAAGTGTAAATATCAATCCAGTAATTAAAAATCGCATGAACTTTCTCAAAATGTTTCTGAAATCCTTTGAAATTCGTTCAATCCTCTCAAAATATAAATAATTTTTCAGGGAATCTCTTAAATACGAGAGTTTCCTTTTTGGATGTACCTATTCTTATTTTGAAAAATCGAAAAATAATAAGGGAATTATGGGGTAGAACACAAAGTTAAAACATATAAGACAAATTTGCTTTTGGATGAAATTGTCGTGGGATGAGTCGTTATGGGATTCGACTGAATCCTGGACAGATCTTGAGGTGACAGAATTTTTTTATTTCAGGGAAACAAACAAAGGATGGACCGGAGGAGAAGAAGGACGCTGATGGTGAGCTATGGGGCAATGTGGAAGCACAGGCCGCCTTTTTGGGGCCAAATATATGGGACAAAACACTGCCCTATGATGCCGACCTGAAGGTATTGAATCATGTATGTACAAAGATGAAGGAAAAGAGCCATGAAAATTACAACAAATTCATTTTCAATATTTTCTATTGCGAATTAACCAGAACGGTAAGGTTTTAACTAGAACGAGTGGTTTTCAGTTAAGGAGATGAATGTTGATTTTAGATTGAGAATATTGTTTTCGTATTGACAGCAACTCTTATTCTAATTAAATGAGATTCAACGTTGCAGAGAAAAAGTGCGGAAATTCCCCCTCCTTCCCCTCTTCCCAATGATTGAAGAATAAAAAAAATTGTTTAGTCCTTGTAGTTTTCGGAATATTTTCGAGAATTATTTTTTCACCTGTAATTTACGAAAAAAAAATTATTCTTAAGGATATGCAAGAGCTTTAGCCCTTCTGCCGCCTTTGAAATCTCTTTCAACATTTTTATTTTAACATCAGGGCTTTCATTCAAGCCCCATTATACCCTATTTTATCGAAAAAATTTCAGTCATTTTATAATTTGAAACTTAAAGTTCACAATTTCAACAATGTCAAAAAATTGACACTTTACATAATTAAAAAATTGAAAATTTTAAAGAGCTCGATTTCTTTTCATGAATTATTGACAAACAATTAATTCTGCACCCTCAAAATTATTCCTCCCAAATGATATAAAATTTCTGAATAAAATTTCACTAGAAAACGATTTCACGTGAAAAGAAAAGCTTTCCGCAAGTCGTCGAAATAAAAGTTGTTGCAAAATATAATAACGTTGAGGATTAATGAATTTTGTTGAATGTTTTCGTACAAAACTGAGTTGACAAAACCTTGAATATTCTCAAATTATGATCAACAGTCTCAACTCCAAGAAAAAATTATTTCCCCGAGTTATTTCTGCGTGTTGCGACCGAGTGTCTCACTAAAAAAATTTTGAAAACAACGTAAAATAACCCAGTAACAATCAGCCTCAATTCGCTCTCATTTGCGACTCTCCTCGATTTATCTGTATTTTCCGGCATATCTTTCCTTTGTGCCCAAGTATTTCCCGTTTTTTCAGACATGCAAGTGATTGTTGGTTGCGTAAGACCTCCCCTCCCCTAGTCTCAACTCCTTGTAAAAAGAAGAAAAAAGAAAAAATATATTGCTTGCTAAAGGTAAAACTGCGAGACTTCCTGGACTCGTGAAAACGAGGAAGCTCGTCGAGGCACCAAACCTGGTCCTTTTTTTATGCCACAACTACTCTCAACACTCGATAATGTAAAACCGTATTTATGCGGATAACTTGAGAGGGTGGGGGTTGCACCCGCGAAGAAACGTCCAACCAAGCGTCAAGATACTTTCACTCTCTTTGCGGATATCGTCACGCCTCCAACGCGTAACCGAGTATATCGAGCAATACCCCCCTTTTAAATTGTTTTTATATGCCATCAATCTCTTTTACCAACTATTTTCATTCATCTTTTTATTTTCCTGTATTTTTTATAATTTCATTTTGCACTTAACATTTAAGAACTTGCGGTGAATGCGAATATGTGTATTCAGGATGATAAAAGTTGAGACTCGAGCCGACTTTCTCTTTTTCATACGTCGCCCACATTGGTTATCATTGTTTATGGTTTTACCGCGAATGTGCATGGGCCAGTACCTTAATACTTAACCCTGCAATTCAATCGCTCGTGCATGGAGAAAAATTTATATCGGAATTTACCCCTAAATAGGAACTTGCATTTTTCAAAAATCGTTTTTTAGTGTGTCACAATTTTTGCGGGCTGTTGATATGATTGAAGAATGAAAATTGCGGAAAATAACATTTTCAGTTGAACGTAAAAAAAGTTTACTGGATATTTGAGCCCTTTCAAAAAAAAAATAGTGAAATTTAAGATTTTCGTGAACTTCAGTAGAATTCCTCAACTTATGTGATTTTTTAACCAAAATTTGAATATTCAGTATCAGATTTGGCGAAATTGTCCTGATTTATTCATTTTCGTGAAATAATTGAACTGAAATTGATAGGTTCCATTCATTTTTCCATTAAATTATAAATTTTCAATGATGAAATTCATTGAAATTTCATCGAAAATGTTACGTGACCACAAAAATTTCTCAGTCTACTTTCTAAAAAAAAAAATATGCAAGTTTCTTATTCTAGGAATCATGTAGACGCCCTTTCAGAACTTTCTATCAACACTTTAATACAAAATGCAATAAATTTAAGAAATATAAATATATTTTGGTTAGAAATTCCTGAAAGACCCATACGTTGCGCGATTCCTAGCCTTGAGGGGCCATTTTTGATGGAAATTTTCTCCCCGTGTGGTCAAACGCGTTATTATTAATCACGATTATTTTTCAATAAATTCAGTACGTCGATTTGGATGAATTTCTCTCGGAGAATGGCATCCCCGTGGATGGGGTTGGCGGTGGTGGTCAGGGCACGATGCAGGGAAGTCAACTACACAAAATGAGTAACAGCAGTAATGAGGCAACAAGTCATCAAGGACCAGCTGGACTCCATCTAGAGCCTGTAACAAAGCGCGAGAGATCGGCATCCCCCAGTGATTGCTGCTCACCAGATACTCTCAATCCACCATCGCCCGCCGACTCAAGTGAGTGTAAAATAGAAAAAACCCAAAAACAATTATTAAAAAATAATATGAGAATCCCCCCAGACAACGCAAACGGATCAGGTAACAACATATCGTCAACGACACGTTCTAATAGTAAACAATGTGCTAATGTGTTCGTAAAATTCATGGCCAATTAGTGAGAGTGATCAGGGGGATGCGGATCCCCCATTCAACATTGTTAAAATTGTTTTTGAAATTTCAGCCTAAATCGAACATTTGGATAAACTGTTGCCTTAATTTTCCCACTCTTTACTGATTTTTATTGTCATTTGGATTAAAATGACAATTTCACGTGAATGTGTTGTTAAAAATTTCAACATTTTTTACTTGAAATTTCACAAGTAATTTTCTAACAGTGGATAACAGTATGAAAATGGCCCATTTTTCAAAAAAGTTGAAATGCCCGCACTTTGTCGAATCCGTGTTTTGTTCTGCCGAGAAACAGATTCCGGGGACTCGTCACGTATACAATATGGCTTGTCTCTTGTAGCGCTCTCGATGGCGTCATCGGGGCGAGACTTCGATCCAAGAACTCGAGCATTCTCCGATGAGGAGCTGAAGCCCCAGCCGATGATTAAAAAATCACGGAAACAGGTAATTTCAACTCTTTTTTTTCACACGAGTAAACTTATTACTCACTTTTAAATTCCTTTTTATCTGATATTCTATTATTGATGTGTAGTTTGTACCCGATGACTTAAAGGATGACAAATACTGGGCACGCCGAAGGAAGAACAACATGGCCGCCAAGAGATCACGAGACGCGCGTCGCATGAAGGAGAATCAAATTGCACTGAGAGCGGGTTTCCTTGAGAAAGAGGTGAGATGTGAATTTAATAGACTTTTTATCGAATTCAATGGTTCACGCGGAGGGTTGAGGAAGTTTATCCAAAATCATAAGCTCTACAATTTGTTTTAACTGATTTTTTTTACTGCATTCAAACTACTTTAAAGTTTTAAATATTTGAATTATTTCTCTGGGCCGTTGGATGCAGAATATTTTTTCGCATTGCTTTCTATTCTTATTTTTATTTTTGGAGTCTTCTGGTAGGAGAATTGTCAATGTGGAAATCAATCCCATAAGAGGTATAAGAAAAAATGAGACAATTCGATTTTTGGCAGAAGGAAAGCAAAATCAACGAGAAACTGCAATAAAAAGTACTAAAAGGTGTACGATAAAAATTTTCTGGAACTTCGGGTATTTTTTCATCAACATTTCACAAATTTTCCTGTTCATTTGCGAAAAATGACGGTTCACAAAGGAAAATTTATGCTTTGCCTCCCCTTTTCCCTCAATTTCAAATAAGAAATCCCGAAATGCAATGTCGCTCACCAATTACCTAAATAAACATTCTCAATAATGGGCTAAAAACCATTTGATTTCAGAATATGGGTCTTCGACAGGAGCTCGATCGATTAAAAAACGAGAATATGTTACTACGCGACAAGTTGAGCAAATACACGGATGGTTAACCAACGGCTGATTACTGAGGTTTACCCCAACGACAGCAGGGCTCTATTTTTTAATGAAAATTAATAAACAAAAATCCAACCGTACTGTCTTCGGGTGAATCCAGAATTCACTCGTCCAATGGAGAACCTGTAAATTATTCTCCCTTCCTCGCGGCAAGTTCTTTCCTATGGAAAAAACAGGAATAAAATCACAGAAATTTCTTTTTTCTTTTGAAAAAAAATTCTCATTCTACGATTTGATAACACAAAAGCATGAAAAAAATTATAACTGAACAAGTCATTTCCTTCCTTATCTCCACCGTCGCAGCCTCATTTGTACATAGTTTATTGTATGTATAGTTAGATTATTTGTCAATATTGACGTCATATGTTGTAGTGTAAAAATCATTTCACGGAGACAAAAGCTGAAAATACAGATGGAAAGAAACCATTGAAATAACGAAGGGATTTTCGATAAATAAGAGGAAGGGAGGACCTGGTAGAATGAATGTGATAATTGTGAGTGAATTGATCGAGTGATTGAGTGCGTGTGATTATTCATTATGACCTTTTGTCCATCGAGCGATTGTCCGTAACAAATGGGAGACAAAAATTAACTGGAGAAACAAACTAAAGAATTTAAAAATTCAAAACTTAAATTTACAATTCGAATAAGATCCATCGATTAATGTGCGCAAGAATGACAGTAGAATGTTTCAAGGAAAAAAAAAATTAAAATTGCACGGATTCTGACGAAGTTGTAGAAAACATTTTTTCGATTTACCTAAATGTAGCAATTTTAGACGATAAAACAGCAACAATTTGTGCCCATTTTTTTTGGCAGTCCCTGTGTTCTCTTTCTTGGGCTAGGAAAAGAAGAACGAGAAAAAAAATGAAAAGATTAGACAATTACTAAACTAGCCTTTTTCTCTTCTTTTTAAGTTTTTAGATGTTTATTTTGTTTATATGTAATACGTAATACGTAAGATTTATATTGTATAGAGGAATTGGTACTGGATTGTACATATTGGCTTGATTAACAAATTGCCAACTCCTGCAAAATCAACATCTGTGAAAAATTAATGCTATGAAAGAGCAAATAGTGATTACCAGTTTCTTTATACATGTTTCTAAAATCATCAGAGTCAAAAGTAAATGAGAGTTTAATGAAAATATAACATTAGATGCTGTGCAGTTGTTCACGCAAATTGGATGAGAATTTATCAATTAGGAAATTTTTAAGAAAGTTTTTGCTGAAAAACAAACATGAGTGATTGACGATACTATTTTGATTTTTGTATTCATTATTTTTTTTTGTTGTTTTTCTTCATTATTTTCTGTTATCTTAGAGAGCCACTTACGCGCACTGTCGAACAAATTTATAAAAATTGGCCTAACATTCTATTTTTTTTTAATTATTGTTTATCCGAAAGTCGTTTGAGCTGTGTATGCTTTGATCAGTTCCATTTTTATGTTGCGGAATCATGCGTAGAAACTATTGTAAATTGTTTTTTCCTTGGATATAGAAAATAAACTGATTTGCTATTACAAAAAAACTTATGGATTACATGAATTAACTAATACTTATGGAATAATCAAAGTCTAGAAGAACAACACGAAGAGAAAAAAACAAATACACATAACGAATAGGTAACACACGTATCCGATCCGCAAGCAAATCAGATGTAACAGAGGGATAATAAGTGCGCTGAAGGGAAAAATTCAAAGAGAGAAAGAACATAATGTTTATCGACGCAAGAAAAAACTTTATTGTATCACCTTCCTAAAAGAATATATGTATTTGTTATTGTTTTACATTATGTTGATATTCTTCAATCCTTCCCTTTCATCTTAGATTTTTTTTTCGTTGGAAACATTTTCAGAAGTTTTTGTCAACCCCTCACGGACGGGGCCCTTTGGTTTCCAAGCATGAAGTACGCTCGATACAAGTAAAATGTAATGATTTCCAATCAACGGAAAATTATGAAACGGATATGTAATTAAAGCTACAGTATTCCGTTTTTGGTTGTTATTTATTTGGTTGAGTTAAATTCCATAGTTTTGGAAATACTCAATTTTAAAGAGCGCTATTCATATTTTCGTGGGTCGATGCATGGCATCGACGCCGTACGTGAGGGGGTGAACATCGGAAGTTTCATCCAGGCCTCATTTGATCCTAGATTATCGAATATTTTCCGTGATTTTATTTTTAGAATTTACAAGGGCTGAATTGGATGCACCATTTTTAACATTTAGGAAACCTTTTTGGAAATCTGGAGAGTATACTTTTGAGATTAATGAAATTATTGAAAAATACCAATGTTTAGCTAATATGACCTTTTCCATGAACATTTTATAAAGAATTACTTTTTCACCCTAAAAATAATGTTTTCAAAACTGTAACAAATGTTATGAGAAACAGATTTTATGCTAAATAAATAAGATCCACGAAAGTTCAAATACCTCTCTTATTTTGTGAAAAATAATTCTGTGCAAAATGTAATTTTAATGACGTTGAATATTCATGATTTTTTTCGAATTTATCTCACGCAATTTAATTGACAAATTTGATGATTGAAAATGGTTGAATGGTTGATCATCACGCCGACAATACTGCCTTTTGTTGAGGTCTGTTTGTTGCATATTTTGGTAGTATATATAACGATATGAGAACCGACGGCGGCGGCTGTGGGGTTAAGTGTGGGATTGGCATGCGGGAGATCCGGGTTCGATTCCCGGCTGGGGGGGCCAAAATTTGACACTCTAATTCTCACGGTTTCATTGTCGAGCGGGAGTCTCTCAAGAGACGACTGTACCTGGGCAGGTTGTTTCCTCAAATGAGGTTTTCCCTTGTCCTTCGGCGAATGCGTTACAGAGGGTTGGGGGGTGGGAAGGGAACAAATCGTAAAGACCCGAAAGGGTGTACGAGAAGAAAAAATTATAACGATATGAAACATTTAGGAATGGTACTAACAGTAGGAATGACAATTTCGGTGGAATAAACGGAATTGCAGCTCCCTATAGTGTGAATAATACCCATTCATCTTTATTCTACAATTTTTTTTATTTGTAGTACATTTTTAGCATTGTAATTCATCACATACCAATATAGCTGCTCGCAATTAGCAATGTGATTACGTGTTTGTTTATCTTTTCATGAAATTTAATTGTGAGTGATATAATAGTACATTTCGACATTAGGCCGTGAGGAAGTTTTTTGGCGAATATGAGGTAGAAAAGTTCCCACGGCCGTGTGTCGAACAATATTTTTTGTCATTGGGCCCCGAAAACCGCGACTTAAGTCTATCGGGACTAGTGACGAAAAAAGGTAAGTAATACCCATTTTAATTTGTCTCACTTTCCGCACGTTCCCCAATGATCTCCGAAAATTTACGAATATAATTCATATTAGTAGCTAAGCGTCCTAACCGTTTAATCATCTCATTATCACTTGAGACGTGGCGATATGCAAATCAGTGATTATTTGTGATCAGGCTTCATGAGTCAAACGAACGAGCTGGTGAGTCGCTGGTGAGTCAATTTTTTATTCGAGAATTACTTTTTCATTTACAATGAATAAGTGATAAAGTGACCGCTAGAAGCAATTCTTATTTGTTAACTATACCCATTAGTTCCCTCGTATCTCACTTTAATATTTTGAAAACCTCGGAAAACTATCCAATTAGGGATATTCCAGAGAACTTGATGAGAAACAAGAAATAATACGTAATAATGACCGGTTTATAACATGAAAAATCGCTAGTTTGGTATCCAAAAAATGAGGACGATCTCCAGCTGACGCTGAATACCATTTAGGTAGTTGCTACATCGGTTGAGTAATAAAACACTCACCGGAATTATTTTCAATAATTCTACATATGGGATGAAAGAGTAGTAAATATAAATCAGTGTGGAATCACATGTTGATAAATTATGTAATTGTCTTACGACGAGAATTTGGGAAAATGTAAGAGGTCCTCGGGAAAAAAACGTTTCGATATTTAGTTCAATATTCACTTGGGAAAGAAATAATTCATTAATTAGCCACATGTGAAAGAAGCACTGACAGGTTTTACTGCTCCTCCTACTGATACGAACGAACTTCATAATACTCTTCAATTATGATTGTCTTGTTCATTTTGGAGGCTTTTACACTTCATAAATCAACTGGAATAGTAATGCATAAAATTGTGGCTTAATTTTTTAAAAATTGAAAATTACAGAGATGCATTCACAGAATAATGTTTTTTTGTGACCATCTTTTAGGTCTTGAAACGTTTTGCATTGTCAATTAATGATTCTAATTATGGTTATAATGATATTAGTAATATTCTTAGGATGAAAATCAAAGTTGGATATCCTTAACTGAGCAGCCAAATTTTGAACGAATTTCCCTTGCAATCCACTTGATAGAATTGACGATTAAAAATCTTTGAATCTGCAGTGCACTCTGTATGAAGTTGCAAAAAGTACTAGGATGTCCCTATTCGCATTTTTCATTACGCTAATAAATTTTCAAATTCATAATCATCGTTCCGACTAAACTTTGTTCGTGAAAACCGCCGTTAAATGCAATCAAAAGTAGCATCTTTGATATTCAATACATAGCTGTCGATGAAATTCCAATCAGTTGCTCAAATTGATTATCATAAAACCCGAGAACGTATCGAATCGATATCATTTTTTCCGATCCACAAAAAAGCAAGAAAGCCTCCACTCATCGCTTCAATTTCACCTAGCATTCAAGACAAGTATTCCCCACCGCGGTAGAAGGGAAAACTGCAGTTAAGCAGAGTACCCCAGCATATACTTACATTGCAGACAGTTGTGAGTGCATTCAGTGCATCAAAAGCGGCCAGACTGGTCGGAGCCCCTCATCACAATCCGCTATTGAACCATGAACATTGTGATAAAAGTAGTCACCTTCATTGTGATCGTATCCATCATCGGAATAATCTACCTGCAAACATCAGAAAAGGAAATACCGAAGTTCGAAAATACATGGTGGGGCCCAGGAGCCGAAAATCCGGACGTAGATAAGTCCATCAAACCGTTTAAAATCGAGTGGAATGACGAGGTGATTATTAGTGGATTTTTCGTGAAGTAGAACTGCACAATTGTCTGCACGGAAAAAAATCACAAATCATCCCAGAATTTAATATGATAATCCTGTTGCGCATTAAACATTCAGGAATTTTTACCAAAATTCTAGTGGAAGATGTAATAAGTCTATTTGAAATTTCGATATTCTAAAAAAGATTTTCACGAACATAATTCTGTTCATTGGAGAAATAGTGTATACACTGTGAAAAAATTTTGGCTGCAATTTCCGGTGCACTCTCTAGAAATTTTCATCACGTTTTAGTTCCACTGAAATTTCGCGGAATTTCGTCAATGAAAATTTTGAATTTCATGGAAAAATCAATGCTAACTATAAATATTAGGTCATTTATTCCCTGAAAATTAATAGAAATCAGTAAAATTCCGGTGAATATGTTCTTAATTTTTCAATGAATTAAAAATTCAGTATAAGTTTACAATAAATATTAACGTTTCCATTGCAAAGTCAAATACGTTGAGTAATTCTCATCTTGATGCTACTCAAAATGTTGGGATTTCATTGAATTTTTAGTGAAATCTGAAATTTCATTCAATTATTTTCTAACAGAGTACCGTTCACCGTATGATAGTATCCTAATCCATGGGATAATATAATGCGAATATAATGACTATGCAAATGGACCGTGGAAATTTCCGATTCACACCACTTGTTCCAATTACATCTCCCGATTTTTTCACTTGAATTGATTAATTCAAGTGAAAAAAGAGAATTGATTAATTCAGAGTTCAATAATACAGTAATCTTTCCGAGATTCGAACAGAGCTTGAAGAAGGTGATTCAACAAACTGAATTAATTGATTTGATTCCAATGAATGGGTTTTATATATCGCAAATCTGACTGGATATTAAACAGAATCATCTCCACTTCATTAAACCCAATTTTTCAATTTTTTCAATTCCGTATTTCAACCTGAAGAGCACATTTTTAATTTCAAACTTGACAAATCCGCCCTGAAACTTGATCAACTGTTCAACAACACATCATTGAAGAAATGAAAGAAGAAATTATTTTTGATTAATTTCTAGTTGAATTCCCCCTCACATGACTAATAACTCTATTGAAATAGGCCATAAAGGACTTGAAAACCCGATTGAATAGAACAAGAGATCTAGTCCAACCCCTGGAAGGTGCAGCGTGGACATACGGTATCAGTGGTCCATATTTAAAAGAAAAAGTCTTATCATACTGGCTGAATAAATATGATTTCAAAGCACAACTAGCCCATCTCAACAAATTTCCCCAGTTCACGACAAACATCCAAGGTGACACAAATTTCTCCATCCGAGATTTCTATTAATGACGAGCGAAAGTGAAAACTTATCTCGATATTCCAGGGCTGAATATCCGTTTCCTGCACGTCAAACCGAAAAATACCAAAGGGAAACGAGTTTTGCCGTTGATAATCCTCCACGGATGGCCAGGATCAACAGCGGAATTCTATAAAGTCATTCCCATGCTCACGACACCTCGAGAAGATCACGATTTTGTCTTCGAAGTTATTGCCCCTTCGCTCCCTGGTTTTGGTTTTTCAGACGCTACCGTCAGGCCGGGACTTGGGGATTCGCAAATAGCTGTTGTTCTCAAGAATCTCATGTTGAGATTAGGTTTTGATAAATATTACGTTCATGGAGGTGACTGGGGAGCCATCATAACTGCGCGAATGTCCGCTCTATTTCCAGATCAGTAAGCATTGCAGAATAAAAAATTATAATAGGGGAGAGTGGGGCAAAATGAAACAGTCGAAAAAACGACAGTTTGACGCAATGCAAGCAAAAAAATTTTTTTCTATTAAATTTTTTTATCAACTTCTTTTTATTCTTGGGAGTACCGATAAGAATAATAATTTTCCATTCAGTAGAATGGAAAATTATTCAGAAGTTTTGACCGATGAAGATTTTGTAATCGAATAATCCAAAGTCCAGTGCAAGGCCCAGGAGGAGACCCAGAGGAGAAAAGGAAAATGTGATGCTGAATTTCAATCGAATAATCCATTGACAAAATCTTCGCCCATCAGAACTTCTCAATAATTTTCCATGCTACTAAATGGAAAATTATAATTCTCATCAGTATTCCCAAGAAAAAAAATTTTAACAAGAAAACAAATTTAATGAAAAAAAATTTTTTTGCTTGAATTGCGTCAAACAGTCGATTTTGACTGTTTTATTTCGCTCCAGTTTCATTTTGAGCCACTCTCCCCGCCATTCCGAAATAAACAAAGTGGCAGATGCAAGTGAATTCATAATCATTTTTTGCTCGTTTTAAGTGTTATTGGAATGCACTCGACTATGTGCACAGCATCATCAGCCAAAGTCATCTTGAAGATCGTTTTCTACAGTTTCTTTCCATCTCTGTTATTGGAAGAGGAGGATTATCACTGGTTTTATCCTCTGAGTGAGAGATTGGGTCGTATATTACTCTTGTCTGGGTATCTTCACCTGCAGGCAACGAAACCTGATTCACTTGGTACATATTTTTAACTTTTGAACGATTTTTTGAATATATTCGGAAAGGGATTGTTAAAAAAAAAATTACAGTCTATAGGCAGTCATTAACCTAATTTTATCGAATTTCTTCCTTTCATTTAATTGATTTATTAGTCGCTTGACTATTTTTGCTTCCTAATGCAAGCTTTGTATACGTCAAATTTTCATATTTTCAATTTTTTCTCCTGTTTTTACCAGTTATCATTGACATCTGACTGTTGTAAAAAAATCGGACATGAACGATTCATTTTTCATCGATCTTCATTCTCACATCAGATTTTTAATGCCTCTTAAATTAATAAGAAAAAAACCATGCTTAATTAAATGAAAAAATTGATTGCCTTTAGAAGGAGAATATACGACTCCACCTTCGTCCCCATTTTTCATAATTAAGGAGCTAAAATTGGCGATCATATTCAAAAGTCGATTAAAAAAATTTAGTACGTTTAGGATTTTTTAAAATTGAATTTTCAGTTACAAAAAAATCAAATCTTTAATTTTGAGCGTTCGAAGATAGTTTTTAAAGAAAGTAGGTTTCTCAATTTTCGAAAAGCACTTCTTCTCATTGATGACTTTTTCAAGGTGTTGGACTCGCCGATTCTCCAGCGGCTCTCGCCGCTTATGTTCTCGAAAAATTCTCGGACGCCACCAATCGCGATAATATGTTCAAAGAGGATGGCGGCTTATTTGAAAAGTTCACACCCAACGAACTCATTGACAACTTGATGATGTACTGGATGCCGAATAAAATGACAACGGCTATGCGAATATATGCTGAATCATTCAATAAGAAGCAGAATACATGGCTAGAGCAGTGAGTATTTTTTCACGTGTGCAAAATGCAAAGACATTGTCCGAACAAAGATTACATGACAACTGTATTTTTATGTTTAACCAGGTGGCCAGTGGAAGTTCCGAGTGCGTGTGCACAGTTTCCCCATGAGATTATATGGTATCCACGAGAATTCCTGCAGGAGAGATTTTTAAATTTAGTTCAGGTGACGAAAATGCCACGAGGCGGACACTTTGCAACGTTAGAAGAGCCAGAACTTGCTGCCAATGATATTTACAAGTTCGTAGGGATTGTTGAGGAACAAAGCGAGAAGAGAAAAAAATCAGCAAAGAAGACAGATTTGTAGAGCATAAAACTTTTAGGAATTAATTGTACTATATTATTGTCAATACGCGACGTTTCGTTTGTAATTCAAGCTTCTTCAGGCTCTTGACAGTCAAGTAACCGAGTCATACTCTTTTCTAATAAAATCCATATCGAAATCCTCAACCGCATTTATAAGTGAAAAACAATTGTAAAATCAGACATGGACGACTGACACGAGGGTCATTTTTCCCTTATCTTCTGCCACGGGGCGGACACTTCACAACATTAGAAGCGCCAAAAAGCTTTTAAGAATTCAAGCTCATGGGGTATTCCAGAACCCAATGAACTGTGCTATATTATTGTCAATACGTGACGTTTGGCTTGTAATTCAAGACCGTTGACAGTCCAATTATAGCGTCACCTTAATCATTTCTCTAGCCATTTCAACTCCCTACGATTTCAGTAGGAGAAGTTCCCTTCCTCTGTCCTGCGTGTGCCCCTCCGCACGACGACAACACGCAGTCTCACTGCAGGAAAGGTTCTCTCTTTGTTTCTCTGTTCTCAAGTCCCGCCCTCCACGGAAGAGTGGGGGTTTCCACGAGATTTCGGTACGCAGAATTTTCAGCCCCGGAGCCGAAATCGTAGGGAAACTCTATTCTAAGTCTAGGAGTATCAAAAATAGGGATTAAAAACTTTCTCAGACCTTGGGACTTGCTTATTAGAGCGAGACCCGAAGGCTTTGGGTCTTAACGCGTTATCGCAGAGAACAGACAATGAAATGCTGAATAAATACATCCTTCAAATTACCTCGTGCTATTGAACTCATGAAATCAATGGGATATTTCGCAAATGACATATCTCGTTTGCATCCTCGATTACGCAATTTGAAACTGAATAATCCACGTTAAACTAAGGAAATTCAATTAAAAATATATTTTTGTACTTGTGAAAATCGCAATTCATTGCAAATGATAGTATCGATGATAGTTGGGAGTGATTTGCGAATAAATCGATGACCCAATCCATATTATCATGATGATGACGGGCAGAAATGAAATGCTAAATAAATAGATCCTTCAAATTGCCTCGTGCTATTGAACTCATGAAATCAACGCGATATTTCGCCAATGACATATCTCGTTTCATCCTCCATTACGAAATTTGAAACTGAATAATCCACACTAAACTAAGCAAATCCAATTTTAAAAAATATTTTTGTACTTGTGAAAATCGCAATTCATTGCAAATGATAGTATGGATAATAGCATGTCATGGTGATGAGATGTAGAATCAAACACCGTTTGTATACGTGTAAATTGACTGTCAACATAAGAATATTAAATACGAGCCAAGGATATTGGACTCTTGATTTCTCATATTCTCCGGCAGAGTTATTAACTCCGCTGACTGGTCACACTGATACAAGTATTTTTGTACAATCATTATCGACGGGAGTCTCAATAACGACATTCTCAGTGAACTCTTGACTGCAGTGTGTTATCATCGGTGTTGCAATTTCAATATGTACATCATCATATAAAAATTATTCTCTGTCGGTTAATACCGAATTAGATTTAAATGAATACGCTATAGCTGCCTACAATACAAACAACAAATGAATGGAACTTCTTGATCGTTGAATCAATCAAAATATTTCGAATAAAATCATATAATTTGACTCAAATTGATCACTTTTCTCGGTGTATACATATTCAATTCCAGAACACGCAAAAGATGTCATTCTCATTTATCGTAAATTAATTCTGTGCATTTTAAAGTGAATATTTTAGTTAATGGAAAAGTAATTTCTATTCGCAGAAATTTACTTGTTTCAAGATATTGATGAATGAGAGTGATTCTTTCGCCTGATGCTATCGCTGTGGGCTTGTCGCCAGCAAGATCATTGGTAGAAATGTCTCGTACTGGATTATAGTATTATCTATTATGAAATAGATAACATTCTTGAATTGAATAAAACGAAGTACATGAACAGCCACGCACTCTTGATTTTTTTGATATCGCAGTTAATGGAATTCGCAGTTTTCTCACTCATCGCCCGTACCGTCTGATACTCTGTTTAATTATCGCTCTCTGCCTCTATAAATACAGAGTAATTGATGATAAGAAAACTGATGAATCCCTTAAGAGTTGCTTATAATTCGATCTGACTTTTCCTTTTTTTTATTTTCCTTTCAATTGACTTTGACATTGCGTTCATCTCTTGACTCAATCGATCCATTGTTATTTATATTTAGGATATTCTCTCTCACATCTTCCCACCCATTCACATTCCCAGTATTTCCTATTTTATCGTCAGCAGTTGATAGGAGGAGATGATTTGAGTGCATACGTGCGTCGCGTGAAGGTCGAAGCAATAATTACAAACACGCTACTGAAAAATTCCAGGAGAATCAACAAGTGTCAAAGTCTACTGAAAATCAGCCAATTATCACCAAAGAATCATTATCGTCATGAAGTTTCTGATACCTTTTTCCTCGGAAAACCCTCGAAACACCTAGAGTATCAGAGAATCGAATAATGCTTCCATAATTAAAAAATTCACATTTTCTCTGAATGTGCACTTAAAAACATTCTCGCAAAATTTAAATATTGTCTTCGAATTTGAATCAAAATCAGATATGTATTCACGATGCCCAGCACTAGAGCCTAATCATCAACTTGTTGAGAGGATTTATTTTCCAAATATAAATTCTTTTCAACAGTACCTAGTGAATTATTATGTTAATAGTACTTTTTATACTGCAGCGTTCGTATCGCATCCCCACCGCTTTCTCGTTGCGACCTCGGTTGTTATATCAACTCCGGCTAACACCGCAATAGTATTTGCCGCAGTTAGTATTCGCCAGTAGATTCGAGCAGTTTTGGAATTCACGAAAGCACAAGTGATGATTGTCAAGGGAATATTAGGAGTGCTATTGGCTGTCGGTGCCTCCTATCACTTTGTGTGCGTGCTCTTCATTATTTTCTATCAGCTAAGTGACCATCTAATTGATTGTTCTGGGTTTTCTACGTTTTATTCCATACAGAGGTCCAATCCTGCTGAACGATAAGCCTCATGCGATCCCAAGGCTACCAGAAAAGAACTGGGGACCAGCTGGGGTTAAAGAGGATACTTCGATCAGGCCCTTCAAGATTGATATCCCCAAAAATGTAATTGCTTCAATTTCTTTCAAGGAATGTCTCCAAACATAAATCATTGTTTTAGTTATATCAGTGGCGAACCGATAAAACCATTCAAGTCGATTTTCACTACTCGTCAGTTCTCAGTGAATATCTCGGAAACAAAAGCAGAGAGATAAATTTTTATTATGACCTTTTCTTTAGATCGAATTGAGAGCTATAAAAAAGATATTCACGATAATTTCCCCATCTCCCTTCGATTGCAAGATATTCCTCGAAAATTCAGCGAAGAGTTAAGTCGACTTAATTTTTTTACCGCTTATTCCATCAGATGAAGTAACAAATTGATTCAATTCAATTATTTCTCATTATTTCAATTGAATACAGAGAATATCGGCTATTTCTTGGAGTGGATATTTAAAATAGTTTTTTTATACCAAACGCTAATGAATATTGAATAATAATATCGAAAAGTACTGATTCATACATTATTCAGCAATCATTGAGTGCCAGTTGTTTCCTTATTCTCGGTTTTTCACTGCTCTCCTGCTCTATTAGGTAATCGAGGATCTCAAGCACCGATTATCGAACACCAGGGATTTAACCCCACCTCTGGAGAAGACCGGCTGGACCTACGGAATCTCCGGTACATACCTCAAAACAGTACTCGACTACTGGAGGAATAAATACGATTGGTATAAACGTCAAGAGCTGCTCAACAAGTTCCCGCAGTTTATCACGAGAATTCAAGGTCGGTATTATCAGTGACTATTGAATCAGGTGTGTAAGAATCTGTGGCATAATTGTTTCTTGTGCAGGTCTTGATATTCATTATATTCACGCGAAGCCATCGACGACCGTTCAGAATGGGAAGACGTTGAGGATTCTTCCACTCTTGTTGGTGCATGGCTGGCCAGGATCTATTGTTGAATTCCAGAAGATCATTCCGATGTTAACGACCCCACGGGCTGATGCTGATTTCGTTTTCGAAGTTATTGCTCCATCGTTGCCGGGGTATGGATTCTCACAGGGAGCCGTTCGTCCGGGTCTCGGTCATGCTCAGGTTGAGTAAATTGACGAGATAAAGCAATTTATCCGAGACGTTGATTTTTTCTGACGTGGATACATTTATGTTCTCATTACGGGGGGAGGCGGCATTTAGGGAAAAAGTCCTTATGGTTCCTTATCGGCAGTGTTGCCATCTATCGGATTTCTAGAAATTTCTAGAAAATTAGAGTTTCCTGGCGAATTCCGGATTTTTCTAGAAAATTCGAGAAAATTCTCCAGTATTTGTAGAAATAAATTACAATTTTGAAGGTCTTATGGAAGACCTTTATTCTTTCTTATTATTAAAGTCTTATGGAAGATCTTTATTCTATTCTGTTGGACAATTGGTTATTATGGCCCGAAAGAGATCCAATTTGTGGATCATAAATTTCGGATGTGAAGAGCATAGACGTATCCACGTAAAATTACACAGATACAGCTACCCGAAGAGGTTTTTTTTGCCAAAATAAGAATAGTTCACTGAAGTACGAGATATAACAGTAAAGAAGCAGTAAAACGGTTTAAGAATATCCAAGTATCTTCCACAATTTGGTGCAGCCCACACTATAGATTCAAACATTCTCAATCATCAAATTTGTCAATTAAATTGCATGACGATTTTTCATCTGAAAAGTAATTAAGAAGTGGTTTTACAAATTTTTCCTTTTCTTCTCGCGCAATATATTTATACTCTCTTTGTTATCGCAATATCATGGGCAATATATTTATAATTTGATAAAGAAAAGATTCATTCCGTAGTTCTATTTTCATTCTGTGTTGTTCACGACGATGTGTTGAATTTTAGATGGGCGTGATTTTCAAAAACCTGATGACTCGTCTAGGATTTAATAAATTCTACACGCAAGGGGGAGACTGGGGAAGTGCAATTACTGCTGACATCGCAATACTATTTCCAGAAAGGTATGCAATTAACGGATTCGATGTTAGTGACGAATTACATCGTTAATGATTCTGATACAGTAGCGAAGCGGTAAAACGGTTTAATTCGATTCAGCGCTTAATTGCGTCCTCGAGGAATATCTGCGAATCTAAGGGAGATAGCGAAATTTTTATAATGACTTTTTATGTAGAGCCAATTGCGGGCTACAAAAAAGGTCCTGACAAAAGTTTTGCTATCTCCGTTAAATTTCGAGATATTCATTGATAATTGGCCAATAGTCAAAATCGACTTCAACCGTTTTACCGCTTCGCTACTGAATAGGGTGCTAGGATCCCATTTGAATATGTGCTGGGTGTCGGGTGGTCGGGCCATGTTCTGGCAGTTACTTGGATCCTACTTCCCATCTCTAGTGATCGAGCCAGAGCACGCCTCAAAGTTTTACCCGATGTCAAAGCACTGGTCCAGAACAATCGAAGAATCTGGATATTTCCACATTCAAGCGACTAAACCGGATACTGTCGGTGAGTATGAGAAATCCATAGTCGATTTATTCGCGCGTATATGAGAATAAGTCGATATTATTACCATTTGAATGATTTGATTAAAATCAATTGATTGAAATTGACAAAAAACTCATGGGATTTTCCTCTCGTCCAAAAAAATGTAAAGTATCTGTCTCGAAAGAATGTCTCCTCAGAAGTTCATTTCGGCCGATCTGCCTCAGTCCGAGGTTCATATTTGTTCCCGAACTCGTATTGTAATCACACGGCGGAAAAAATTACTCGCAAAATTACTATAATTTGGGTAATTGGAAGCGAAATCGAGGCGCTATTCACTCTTGAAATCATGGCGGATTGATTTCATCACAAAGTAGTGAAATCAATCCGAAATCACGTTAAAATCATGTGAAATCATTGAAGTATTATAATTGAAATCACTGAAAGCACGTGATTACAACTCTCTGAAATCATTTCCGAACACACGCTAAAGTCTTGAAATCATGCTGAAGTAATTTAAAGCTAATGAATGTTTTGTCAGAGAATGAGAACTTCATTCATCGTGATTTCAATTATTTCATTGTCTCTGAAATCACTGATTTTGAATCTATGAAATCATTCGAAGTCAATGACAGTCACGAAATCATATGGCCAACCACTTAAAATCATCGATTTCATTTCTTCCCTTAATCACTGAAATCAACTTCGAAATCACGTTCAGTCGACTTTATTTCGAAATCATGGAGTCACTTAATGAGGGAGTGAGTAGACCCTCGATCGAAATTGTACTGCAGGAATTTTAATTTGAAATCCATGAAAAAATGGGAGGAAAGACTTGGATTTTTCTTTTATACCGTAATTATCCGCATACGAACAACAAAATTTGTGAGCTGTTGGTGAAAAAGTATATGTAAGACGGCTCAATTTCACCGCATTTTGTTGCTCATCCCTTATTTTTCTACACGGAGAGAAATATTCAATAAAAATTAGGTATCTTTTCCGTAATTCCGAAGCGAAATGTGGTTGCAGGAAATTTTACGGAACTGTTACGAAAATTTTCCGGAGCGTTCCGTAATTTTTATCTGAATCTCCTGTGAAAAATTACGATACCGTCACTTACATTTTCTGAGTCGATTTCGTAATCGGTAAGCGAATTATAAGCTCCGTAATTTTTACTGAATATTTCTCTCTGTGTAGGAGTGGGGCTCAACGATTCTCCAGCCGGCTTAGCAGCCTACATCCTGGAGAAATTCAGTACCTGGACGAATCCAGAGTACCGATTCCGTGAGGACGGCGGTTTATCAGAGAAATTTACATTAGACGAACTTCTCGACAATATCATGGTCTATTGGGCAACAAACTCAATCACAACGAGTATCAGACTGTACGCCGAGAGTTTCATAGCTGAAAATCGCGATAAATTCGATCAGTGAGTGGATTATCCTCTCTTCAAACAATGATCCTATTGATTGCCATTTACTATCCATATTTTTTCATCTCCTTGCAGCCTCCAGTCGTACGTACCAACAGCTTGCGCTGTGTCCCCTCATGAGATCCTATACATACCCAAAGAAATCGCCAAGTTGCGGTTCAAAAATTTGACTCAGTTCAACCACTTGCCACGTGGAGGTCACTTTGCGGCCTTTGAGGAACCGAAAACCCTGTCGGATGATGTCTGGACATTCGTCAAAACCCTCGAGAGGGCTTGAAATTATCTTTTCTCAGTTTACATTTCGAGAAAATTCAGCGATAATAAAGAATTGATTTATATACTTTTGTATTTTTTGTTTACGGAAAGAAAAGGTATCAAGGGAAATAAAAAGAAATTTAATAAAATAGTATGAGTGTACAATTGAATGACTACGCGGAGAAAAAATTAGGGCAGTGTCTATTCGCACGCTCCATGGTAAATTTTACCGTGGATTCACGGTAGATTCTCACTCACATCTTGTCTGACATCTCTGCTATGAACAACATAGCAGAGACACTGAACATGTTGCTCTGTTGTTGTTGTTGCATGTTGATACATGTTGTTACTGGACATGTTGTGACAACATTGTCCAGTGGGGTCTAGGAGTCTAAAAATCATCCTTAGAATCATTTGCACGCCATTTCGAGACTCGCTCTTTCATTCGGGCCCAAAAAAACATTCACATCTTGTCTGACATCTCTGCTATGAACTCTGCTTTTCAACTTAGATTAGACTTAAAAAACCAAAGTATAAACATCATAGCCCACACTACTCAGAATTTTTCCCCACAAAAAGGTTCTTCATACCCGAGAATAAACATAGAAAGAAAAATATAACATTAATTTTTGCTTCGTATCATTTCAATCAGAAATTCAACACCAAGTAATCATGGAGCGTCGTTCTGTAGGCGCCGAAATTGTCTCTAAACGACATATGTAAATCCGTAAACAGCCTTGAAATATCTCAAACCCTGAAACTTTCTCGCCTACATTCCGCTTGTCCCAAAAATCTCACGCCACCCAATTTTCAAATTTCCTTCAGCTGTATACTGTCGATGTTCCAGCTTTAATGAGGGCATAATTAGACAATTAATACTCTTTTTCATCATTTAAAATTTATGATTTCCCAAATGAATGATTAAATTAATTAATTTCTTATTAGAACTTCTCCCCGTTCAGCTTGCTCTCAAATACTTTCGAATACAAACATTTTGTCATTTAATTTTGAATGTTTGCACGGAGAAAATTATTACAATTATTAAAATTATATGTTGAAATTCACCAACTAGTTGTTGAAAAAATGAATTACCAACCAGTTGTTGAATTTCAAGAACTAGTTGGTGAAATTTAACAACTATTTAATTAAAATTCAGAAATAGATTTTTCAATTTCATTCGACAACCATTTGTTAAATTTTCAATCGTTTCATAAATTTCATCTAGTTTGGTAGTCAAAATTGATTGAATGAAATTGAAAAATCTTTCCTAAATTTTAGTCAGTTAGTTGTGAAAATTCAACAACTAGTTGGTAATTCATTTTTCCACCAACTAGTTGGTGAAATTCACCAAATAGTTTTCTCCGTACGTAATGGCACGATTACGATCCTTCACGTCTGCCTATCAGAATTCCAGAGTCTATCCCTGAAAAGACCGCCGAGTGTTGCCGAAACCGGGACATCGGCATTAACTGAGACCTTGACGATAGCTCAACACCGACATCAATGAACCCATGTCAATAAAAAAATCGTGACAATTCCCCGAGTGACGTAAGCCAAATGTATCAAGAGAAGTGGTACACTGTACAGTGCAGGGATTCAGCGTGGGGGGAAAAGCAGTCCGCGAATGGCCTCGAGGGGGGAACCTCGCTCAAATTCTCGCAACTATACTACGTTCAATTCCTCACTCCCGTAATAAAACATAGTTGGCCTCTGCCTCACCTAGATAACTCATAAAAAACAAAACAATTCAATCCGCACCCATACGATGTTCGGGAGATCAAAGTTTGGGTCCGGTCGCGGATACAGTTTCAATTCATCAAAACACCCATTCGGAAGGAGACACCGCAATTGGATATTTTTGAATCGACGAAAGTCGAGACACCATCATCATGAGAGAAATCCGGTGGAGGAGGGCAGGTAAGAACCTATAGTACTTCAGATGTTTTTGGGTATATTTGCTGTTAGCCCGAAGGCATGAAGCTGCGTTGTCATTCTTTCGGAAATCTCCAGGAGTCACCCGTAAAGCGTCGTTACTGTTGGAGTCATGAGGCTCAAAAGTCCCCTACCGAGACGCGGAACGTACAAGTAAGCAGTTTATTCCCCCCTCGATACAATAGACAGATTTTTTTATTCACTCCATCTTGCACATCGCATCATTCCAAGTGTGAAAGACGATACTGATGGAACGAGGGGAGCAGGACTGAGTGAATAAATTTCTCGAGGTAACGTGGGTGTACGTGGAAATGCCCTCTAGAGCGTGAAGGTACAGTGAGGGGGAAGGGGAACACAACAATAAGGGTGCAGAAAGTGTGATGGTCAGTTGCAGCTGTTTGTTCCCCCCCCCCCCCTCTGTGTACTGTATTACGCACGTGCCCGTTTGTGTTAGTCTCTCTTGAGGCAGAAGGAGAAGAAAAAAAAATGTTTGACGTTTATTAGGTCCTATTAACTCTGATAGAATCAAATAATGTTCTGAAGACGTACAGTTAACGGTTTAATTTCGATCATGTCGTTCTACTCGAATCTCACTCCCGAAGAAATGACGAGAATTCAGCCTTTCATCAGGGCTAAATGGTAGTGAAAAAAAACACGCGAATGTGACCTTTTGCCTCTAAATTTGGTCATTTTGTAATTTTTTTTTTTGCTGCAGTGTGATCATGACAAGGGACTCACCAGCTATCGAGTCAATCTCAGCAGTTCACGACATCTCCGATGGCGAGCGTCCCAGGCATCTGGAGATTTCAACGACTTCGGGTAAATCCAAGGATGAGGACATGACTGACGCCATTGAACTACAAACTAAGGAGCCAACGATGAATGGCCACAACGGTGTTAATCACAAATTTAAGGATCATTATCATGAGGAGAAGGACAATGACTGTTGTGTCAAGTGTGTATACTTTGCTCAACAATGCTGCGAGTGTGTGATAGTCTGAGTGACTGTATTATTTTGTATTCTTCGGAAAATTAATTAACTAACTTTTATAAAAATATACATCAAGTATTTTTTTAGAATGATTTATCTATTTATTTGTACTGGAGGCATGAAGAAATGGAGATTTCGTAAATTTTTTATGAATGAGGTTAAGATTCAGTGGTTGGGGGGAAAATGCTGTCAAACTGAGGCCGGAAAGTGGCGCCACTGAACCGCCGATTTGCTATTCTCCCGCCGATTTTTTTTTGTGAATGTCAAATGAATGTAGGAAGCAACGTAATTACTGTGTAATTAGGGACAGAAATTTTTTAGGGAACAATAAAGTGAATTTTATCCGTCAGAAACGTAATCTCGATTATTTTTAGTTTTCTTAATGGGAAGTGCGACTAATGTCCGTTATTAATACACGATTTAGTTCGAATTTTACTCAAATAATGAGTGTTGTGCCGGAAATATTAAAATCTCCGTCATCCACTATTCTAATAACTGCTAGGATTTTTTAAACTTCTCTGAGTATTTGGAATTCCTCTGAAAAACCATTTGCAATTTTTTTTCTTGTGAGAAACTATTATTTTGAAAATTATATTGAAAAATCAACGTGTGTTGATTATTCTTGATCAAATATTCAGCAAGAATTTCCACCTCAAACTTGCTCGATTTTCAATAACGAATGAAGAAAAAATCGATAAAAAGCCAATCGAATTGTCGAATAGGGGAGGTTGGGGTAAAACGGGCACTTGACTTTTTTGAAATGTTAATGAGGGGTTGAAATGTTGATAAATTTTTTTTTCAATATAAAGAACAATTCTTTCCCTTTGCGACGAGCCTAAACTGAGGTCAATTGATCAATTTGTTTCTGAGTTATGAATAATTTTAAAAAAGTCTAAAGTGTCCGTTTTACCCCACCCTCCCCTACTCTAGTTATTCTATCAAATTTCTCCAGCCGTGATGTCATTTTGAGCAAAAAAAAACATTGAAAAAATCCAAAAATACATTCCTCAAACCCACATACATTCAAAAAGTCCCTCCACTCGCCTTCGCCTAGTGTGTCCGCCCACGTCGCCGACAGTCGTCCCCTGAAAACCCGCCGTCAGTCCCCGCATCACTAAACGCAAGAATGTCACTTGTCAGTGTGGTGAGGGTGGTACTGGTGGACAACAATTGATCCATTACCCGTCGATTACTTATCATTCAGCGCATGTAGCAGCTGTCACGTACCCGTTAACACGGCCCACAGCCCTCCGCAATGATCACAACACCATTATCATCGTGACTACTAACAAAACCGTAACCAGTACTCCATAAATTACCATAAACACCACAAACATGGCACAAATACCGTCCTCCACGGATGATCTGCCGAAGAGTTTTTTATCAGCAATGAGGACTCTATTCCGAATAATGGATGATCAAAATTCTGGTTACGTCAAATACTCGGACATAGAGGAGCGTTGGCAGGACGATGGTACCCAGGGTCTGCCGAAGGGTGTCCTTGAGAGTTTGAAAAAAATAACACCACCCAATGGGCTCTTGTCCTTCGACAGATTTTGCGCTGGTCTCAAGATGTGTCTGCTTCAAATTAAAAGCGAAACTGATACGAAGGAGAGTCACATTAATCGTGACAGTGGACAGCCGACTAGACCCCCATCAGCACCATTTCTCACTGGTGATGGACAGGGTAAAACCCCTTGGACATCTCCAAACACAGCTGCCATACGACCCAACAACGCCAATGCCATTTCTCAGCAGAGAACCCTCAGCATGCCTCAACTAATTCCAGGAAAAAAAGACACAGTGAATAATTCATATCACCACTATCACAGCCATCACCATCACTATGGAGCCAATAACAACGATAATCCAGGGAATGGTAATCCAATGCCATTAGATAATATCGAGGGTAGGAGCAATCAGGAGTTGAAAGTCATCAAGCCACTTGGCCCACCAAAACCCCCCAGAACAGGGGCTGCCAATTTCGATAAATCAGAGATAAGAACTGCTCTTCAGAATTGGCAAATGGGACTCATGATGAGTGACGGGGACAAGTGCATTGATAAATCTAGACAAATGGTGCCAAATGGTAGTAGTTATGGGGTAGATTCTAGGAGTTTGAGCTCGTTGAGACCTCAGAGAATTCTGGGGGATGGAAAGGCTGGGGAGATGCACAATAATGAGATTGGCATTCCCTTGAAGAAGAATACGGTGCGCAGGAGGGAGCCCAGGAGACATACACTGCAGAATGGAATTGATTATAATTTGGTAATGAGTGATTTTTATCGGCAATTTTTGGTTTTTCGGTTTGAGGGGAGAGAAATGGGAAAAGACAGCTCCACTGGAATATTATGTGAAAAATATCACAGGAATATGTTTGGATTGTTTCCATCGTCAAGTCAGACACTTATGGAAACATTCTATAGATATTTTTTTACTGATAGAAGGCAGTAGATTCTGACTTTTCGATATGTTTCTATTAAAAATCCATAAAAGTCATTAAGAAAGGAATTTCGAAGCTCTTTCGGTTTTTTTGTTTCTCATTATAAAATGCAATAAAAATCTTCATACCCTAGAAAAATAACGAAAAATCTCAACAAATTAAGTTGTAAAAAAAATCGATTTGCTCAGTTTTTTAATGAAATGAATTATTGAAAAATGCGTAGCAAATTCCCATCATTCTAATGAAACTTCAATGGTATCCTTATAAAATTCGGAATGATTAGGTTTTTCCATTTAAAAATCTATTTCAAAAACTGTTCTTAAAGTGAAATTGATCAACAATCTGATCCCTTTGACATTCAAATACTTTAAATAATAATTGCCCACTGAATGTCTGCAAAATTTCAGGTAAAAAGAATGAAACAAATCGAACAAGAGCGAGATGTATTGCTTCAAGGCCTCGCAGCAGTTGACAAAGCGAGGGAGTGGTATTTGAAGCAGATTTCAGTGACTCAGGAGAAGATCAGACATCTCGGGAATATGGGCTCCCACGTGGTACCTCTCAACATTCACTTCTATTCGCTGGAATAATATTCGTGCATTAAACTAATTATTATTTTCAACAGGAACAATGGACCGAAGCCCAACAAGAGCGTTTGGAGCTTCAGAGAGCTAGAGTTTTAGAAGTGAATCGCCACTTGGCAGCCCTGATAACTAGCTGGGAACGAGGTGGATTGCCAATGCACATGAATCTCGCGTTCTTGAGTACCCCCAGTTCAGCTCAATTGAGTCAAGATATGATGGCACGGTTGAAGCAGCAGAATCGTAGATTAACCGAAGTAATTCACCCCCATTTCTCTCAATTTTTAATCCTTAATCAGTATTAATAATAGAACTGATAACTACTTGTTATAGAAAGTGAGCAAGAGGGAACAGAAAATAGTTCTCGAGTAGGAGGAGAATTTACCTATTTACTTATTCACTTGCTATTAATAATTTTCAGTTTATTTACTTTGAAATCAATTTTGAATAAGAAATTCCACGAACAATTGGATTTTGAATTGAATCCGAATTCGTAATATTGAGAATTTGAATGCAACTGTCATTTCACTTTCAAAAAATCAATTTCTCGCAATTCTTGAATCCTCAATCAATCCTAATAATAGAACCAATAACGACTTATTATAGGAAGTGAGCAAGAAGGGACACAAAATAGTTCTCCTCGAGCAGGAGAAGGAGAATTTAATGCGGGAGTTGTACAGTCGTCAAGCAGGAATGATCCAATCTCGTCGATCTACAATGATCCATGAGCAGCACGATCAGACATTCATGTAAGGTACTTATTTACCCACATTATCCCCCTCTCAGCGACCCAAGTAATAATATAAGTATTTTCAGAATCTAAAAAGCGTTAAAAATCTTCCATCGAGACTGTTCCCGAAAAATTTACATTCCAATTAAGGCATCGACTGCTAGGACACAGGGTAAAATCAGTTATTTTAAGTGCTCTGCGACCTTTATAATCCGTCCAATGAATCATGAATACTGTAACTAAAACAATTTTCTACTATTTTCGTTGATTATAAATTATTGAACTTATAGAAAGAGTATAAAATAAAGAGATTATGTCAATGGAAATTATCTGGCACATTTTTCCATTCGCCTAGCGAATTGGCAACAATATTCTGTTGTTTTTCAATATAAAATATTTTATAGAAAAAATCAAGAGAATACGATTTTCCTAGACAACTTACTCAATTAAGATATTTTCTACTGAAACTCCTCCCCTGAAAAATTCATGAAAAAAACTTAGAAAATTGATGTCGATGAATTCCTACACAAGCCGTCTCATTAAAAAAGGACGAAGAGATAAAATTCTAGTAACTCGTCTTAAAAATCGTTTCGACTGGACATTCTCTATCAAAAACGCGGAATTCCTCACTAAAAACGACCACAAACTAATAGAATTTGCCAGCAAATTCGCTAGTTTTCCCTATATTTTCTTTTCGTATTCGAAACATTATCACCGCTCGTGTTTCGCTAGCTGTTATCAACTGCCCATGCCGTTGGCTCCATTACTTTGTATTTTTCATTATCATTCAGAGGAGAAAAACGTTAGAGATGTATGAGCCCATAGATATACCCTCTTCCCTCATATCTGCTGTGACCAGTTCAACTCTGATAAGATCCAACTTCCTCTCCGTCCCAACGCGCTCACGAACCGTTTCACGATGTTTTCGTGCTCTCAAATTTAGAATTTATAATGCCCCCCCCCCCTCCCTTTCCATCCCGCTTCTCTTGAAGAAATGTTAAAAAAATAAAATCAAATTTCCCGGATCACTCCAGACACAAAAAAGCATGAAATAAAACAGTCTGGAGTTGATTTTAAAGCCCACGACAGGAAGAAAGAGCGATGAGAAAAAAAAGAGGCGGAGTCGCAAGTGCAATGGCTTTGGAGGCCCCGCGCACATGCACGAATCCCAGGCCACAGAGGTTTCTTTTGTATTTTAGTCCGTCACCAGCTGACACGCGCACTCTTTTAACATACAAGCTACCCCACGCGCGTCTTCATTCGCTCATTCAGTCCCTCATAGTCACTGAAATAGTGTCGTGAATATCCGTTCAAGTCCCTTCGGAATATTTTCAAGTGCACGCGGGCATTTCTGGGAGTGCGATCCACCGTTTGCCGGAGGGAAAACTGAATTTCGAAATTTCAAATTTTCGAGAGGAAAAGGCTATAATCATGGGAAAGATCGCGCTTTATTTTGTTATCATCGTCATCGCAATGGGTATGTTCTCTTTTTTTGAATTTCTTCCTATGGAGGTTTAAATTTCTCCCTCGGGGAGATGTGCATGCTTCAATGCCCAGCGGCGTGAAGTATTTCTTCACGTTGTTAACGAGATTGACACGGTGGACAAGCTTCCCACGATGGTTAAAATAACAAATTGAGTTAGCGTGCTCTAGATGTTGAGTAAAGTACTCTCGCTGTGAGTGAACATAAAAAAATATAGGTAATGTGATAGAATACCCCCCTCCATTTGTTTAATCGAAAAATTCAAAATTTCTGGTAATTTTTCTTAATTATTGTTGACATATAGATTATTATGGAATTATATAAAGTGAAAGAACCCAAAATTGGCCGGAAGATTGGTCTGGGTTAAGATGAATTAATTTCTCTCCTCCACAACACAAAATTGCTAATTTGTGAAAGCAACCGCTCTTCGCTTTTAACCCAGGAGTCACGTCGAGAACCTAAACAACACCAACAACCCTAAGACAGCGTGATTAAGGGGTAACAGAAGGCCACGGTTTCCTCGAAATTTTCAAACAAATTTCCTGTTCAAAGTCATCAATATTTTTTGAACTCAAAGCACAATGATCTTTATCATCGCTTCCTGGAGATTAATGTTCTTTGATTTATAAAAATATTGAGCACTTTCAGCAGGAAATTTGTTCAAAAATTTTGAAAATTAGCGGCATTCTGTTACCCCTTAAGCTTTTCTGACGAACCATTCCCTCCGCTGTCCATTCACCAGCAAAATATCACCTATTACTTGTGCCTGAATAGCTGTGCATTATTTGCTATTTGAATGTGATTCTCTGAGGATATATACTCACATAACCATTACACTTATAGATGTCGTAATCAATCATTTAAAATCCATATTTAAGATGACAGAATTAATCACTTCTGCATCTATGGATTTTATCGTCAGAAAGATGTTAAATAATTTCCAGTCCTGAAGCAAAACCAAATTACCACATGCAATTCATCCCAACACTATAACACGACTAAATAAAATCTGACCTGTGTGTTTAAATTCAATAAATCCTCGCCCGCAACTCATTCCTGAGGTACTAGACCTCTGTATTGGAGAGCGACTCTTTTTAAATTTATATTACTGTTTGTACTGATAAGCCATTGAGTTTGATGTATAAATTAATGAAATTAATTTGGAGTCATGTATTGTCAAACATTACCAAAATCTTATCTGATGCATGCCATATGCGCAATTAAAATCCGCGTTTAAGATGACAGAATTAATCACTTCTGCATCTATGGATTTTATCGTCAGAAAGATGTTAAATAATTTCCAGTCCTGAAGCAAAACCAAATTACCACATGCCATTCATCCCAACACGACTATAACACGACTGAATAAAATCTGACCTGTGTATATAAATTCAATAAATCCTCGCCCGCAACTCATTCCTGAGGTACTAGACCTCTGTATTGGAGAGCGACTCTCCTTGAATTTATATTATTGTTTCTACTATAAATTATTGAAATTAATTTGGGTTCATGTATTGTGACACATTACCAAAATCTTATCTGGTACATGCTATATGCGCAATGAGTGGGAAGTTGTTGCCGTTGAGTGCATCCGGTGATTCCTGGTATGCAATCACCCCCTGGGTGGTGATAAATAAGGTGATACGTTGATCGCTTTAATCGGTATTGAATTTTAATCAGGAATTCTCGGGGATGCGTGCGATCTCGATCAAATGAGACACGGCTGTCGGATTTTCAATAATCAGTGTAGTTGCGGGTACGGGTGCAGAGCGGAGTACAGATATGACTCGAATGAGTCCTGTAAAATGGCTCTGAAAGGTAATAATTTCGAATTGATCTTGACACGATCGATAGGGAGGATTTGAGGAGCGAGATTGATCTTCTTCTCTTGTTTTTATTCTTCACCTCTAGGTCGACGCCACGATATTTGCAGTCGTCAGCGGCCGTGTCTTCATGACGGCTCGTGTCTTCAGATTTCACAAGAGCCTGGATACAAGTGTCAATGCGAGGGCACTGGATATTACGGCGCACGCTGTGATAGACGTAATCATTCATTTTCTATTGCAATTCTGGGGAATGAGATGGGATATTTTGTTGGAATCATATACGTTTTTTGCGCGATTTTCATTCGGAGATATTCATACGTTTCAGTTTTTCATTCAAATTATTCGGGTGAGATTCATTTAATAAGAATATTGAATTTTTTAACCACTGTTAATTTAAATGAAATGCTCTCTTAATCAATCAGTTGATTTTTCTCGAAATGGAAATTATTGAAAATTTGATAATTCGAGTAATTATTGCTCTAAATTTCCAATCTGTTGAAAATTCAATTCAATTCAACATCATGATAAAAAAAAACATTTTTAAAAAATCGAAAACTCATATTTCAATGATTCTTTAACGTGAAAAACTCAATTTTCTTGAATTGTCAAGATTAAATTGAATTTCAATTCGTAACATTGAAAATTCGCACGCAGTTGTTACTTAAATTTTTTTTTAATTCCAAAACTTCATCTTTTTTCACTTTCTCATGAAAGAAAATATTTCATCATAAAAATCGGAAAAAACTGAATTTCCAATAAAATCCCCTATTAAATGCTCCAGAATTTTGTACCAGTTTCTCTCGTAATCTCCAACTAAAAAATCTACCATTTCTATTTCCAGCGTGCCCCGGGCCAAACAGTCTGAAATTCCGTGGACCATTCCCATACGAGTGCGTCGTTATCTAAATTCTATAAAATTGTCTCCCCAAACAAAACTACGATGCATGTGTTTTTTTCTCTCCGTTCCACTTACTTCGTTATCACCAGAAAGAATAGCATTCTGTTTCCCCAATGATACTCTGTACATAAAACAATAAATGATAGATGAAATTACCCGATCACGAAGCTGAAAGCCAATAAGTTCTAAAGGAGATGGTGAAGAGATTTTGTTATTGCTTGCAAGGTTTATTCATCAATAATTTTACAGCGTTTTGTTTTTTCTTTTTTGGTTTCTCTCCTTGTTATGGTTTCATCGAATGGGCTCCGATGCAAGCACACTTGATATCCGTGAACGCTCCAATTCATCAAGTGTGATTATGTCCTCCCCTCACTATCACACTATTACAATTAATGCCATGCTTACCTCCGTCGTTTCATTATTGTTTCCATTGTTTTCCATACCAAAAACGTGAACGACAAACATATCAGAAAATTGCCATCACCATTTTTCCATTGTATTTCCCTCGAGTATCACTCCTCCTCTCCCGCTATTATATTTTCCTCTGGCTTTCAACTTGAATTCATTATACTAATTTGATTCACTCGTTTGTTTTCTTTAACACGTGACTGCATGAGGAACTTAACAACGTATTTATATATTCATATATAATATATTATCTAGAACAAACTGGTGGCCAGTTCTTGCATCCGTTCTTCATTGCTTTTTTAAATTTTTTAATTCAATCATTTTTTTTCGTTTTACATTTTCGAATTTTCTTTCATCGATAAACAGACAATGCGGTACAATACACGCATTTAGTTTGAAATTTATTTGTGATACGTATTGTTTACATTTGTTCTTCACTCCCCGGCGTCACGCTGAAAATTTACGGGAATATTTTTGTTTTTACTTCTCTTGTAATTCGTTTTCTCTCGTTATTCTTTCCCATTCACACGTACATTCACGCACACATTCACCCACACTTGCTCGGATAACAGTAGAATGATCTGTCTTTCATGTACATATTTTCTCGTAAACATTGAAAATCAACATAATTCGAATTTTCAATCAGGCAATGTTGAATTTTTTCTCCTGGGGTTTTGTTCATTATTTGTTTCTTACACATTTTCTTTTTCTTTTTGTTGTTTTTTTTCATTTTTAAATTAACTTAATTTACATAATTTTTCCCGCTAATAAAAAATACCATTATGAAATTAACGAAAGAAAGAGAAATAAATGGATGGATACATGTTAATCAATCGATAATAATTACATAATTAATTAATGAGAAAAGAAAATTCGATGGAAGGCGACGATAATTGATAAAATGAGACGCCTGATGAAGGAACGCTCGTTCTTTCTAAATAAATTACATGTTATTCTCCATCATGATGTAAATGTGTGCCGTCCTCGCGGATTTGTTAAAGTATGGCTCGTTGTTTCCGTTTACAAATATTAATAACCAAATTCGCCATTAGTTTATGTCCTCTCAAATGTTTTCCTTCTCGTACGATTTGTATTTTTCTTTTTTAAAGAATAAGTCTCAATTTGGCAAATTTTTACGTGTTTTTTTTTCGCAATGCCTTACATAATAGTAATATCGGCATCAACGTGCGTGGACTAAAAAATAATAATTACTTCAACGATGGATGGGGTAAATTTGTATGCAATTCTATCATTGATGCTGAGTCTTGTCTCTTCTACTCTTCGATAAATCCGGCAACACGTTGTGAGCGTTCTTGGGTGAAGCCACGTGTGCCATCCGGTCCTTTGGGCTGTCTGATGACTGTTAACTTTGGGCCCGCGTCTTCTAATGAGACTGTCCGGAGTCGGCTTATCAGGCGCTCAGGTCGTTGTTGTACTGATTCTCCACTAAAAATGAAGAGAATTATTAATACAAAAGCCATTCATATCCTCAGATCAATAATATTAAGTACTGGACGATGCACCCCATAATATTTGCAAAACGTGAATAATCCCCTTCAAATCGATTTCTCAAAAAATTCCAGGGGAATTTTGGATACTCATCTAGTTTATCTTGGTGTTGGTCGTTAAAGAGATATTATTTCACTTTAGTGAAGCAGAAATTACCTGGATGAAGCCATTGATCAAGTGATTAATCTCAAGTAACTAATTCATTCCCTATCTTTGGTTTTAATTCGACGGGGATAAAATGGAGGACGGTCAAATTCCCATTAAACACTTTATTTATTGTGATAAAAAAATATAAAACATACCTCAGTCGTGTAACATTGCAAGCCGATGACTTTCCATTCCTCTGATTAGTAACGAGTACGAATTCCACTTGATCACCAGGCTGCAGTGTTGCATTATCCTTAACCTCAGTCATATGAAAGAAAAGTTTTTTTCCCTCGTCAACCTCATAAGCGAGAAATCCAAATGCTCCCTTAACAGCGTCAACAGTTGCAATTCTCTTTTTTCTAACAGCAACGATATTACAAGCATGGCCCTCAGAATCAATTTGAAACTGCACAGGATCATTGATCTGCAGCAATTCACGTTTATTCAATAGTCCCATTATTCCAAATTCATATTCGGGTGTGTTGTCGTCGTCATTTGTCGACAATAATTTAATTAAACCAGCGTATTCCTGCTGATCGGGATTGGCACTGCGCAAGGGTCTCACAACAGTACCATCGAGCACTTCACTGACAACAGCAGCACGTGGTATTGTACCACGTGCAACAACACGCACTGATTCAGCTGCTATACATCCACCTGTACCACGACCATTTCCTGTGTTCACTGTACACTCAATTTCAGATCCAAGCTCTAAGTTGCCTGCATCACCATCAAATGTGCTGGAACGAGTGAAATTAATTTTTATTATTTGAGGTGAAACATTCAATGGAAAAAATCTATGTAATTGTTGCTGGAATTCTATGAAAATTATGCAGAGTTGTTGTCCATTGTGGAATAGATTTTTTTTTATTTATGAAAATCAATAAATGTGGATTTTCTATTCAACTTATTCTTTTGGGTTTTTATTTTTAAGAATTTTCCGGCATGAATTTTCAGTGGAAAAGATGTGAGAATGTCATTTCCAAGAATAGTTACAGAAATAGCTAAATGTATTATTCTTTTGGTTCAAATATCTCTCTGAAAATCACACGACTAAGTTATAGAATTGTAATAGAAATGAATCAGGAATTCATAGAAATTTTCATTTTTTGGATTTTAGTATCCACAAAAACTTAAATGTCAGGTGTGTAGGACGTCACAATCTTTCTTAAAAAATTGAATTGTTGAAAAAAGTGAAGCTTTAAACCATTCAAATGTATATTGTTTTATCACCTCTCGACTTACCTAAAGTGAAAAAATATTTCTTTTTCATGATTAACAGTCTCAATAAATCCAAAACCATCCTTGAGAGCTGCAATAAAACCTTGACAAATTTGACCAACCGGTTTGTCATTTCCATTCTGTGTTTTTTCAACCGGTGGATTCAGCAGTGATATATCAACTGCCACTAGTTCCTTATTCCTCTTCACTTGGCAGATGCCGAATTTAACCTATTGTTGCATAAAAAAGGTGAATGAATACTTTGTTTTCGAAATTGTTAATATTTCTTTTGGTTCACGAAAAATATTCAATCCAAAGCTATTTTCCAAAAAAAAATCCAAAGTATCTGTTCATACCTTTTCATTCAATTTTGGAACACTCTTCGGATCACAATCCTTGGCAAAGAAAATAATGCTTTTTTGAGTCCCATCTTTACCCGTGTACCCAATTAACCCCGGCTCGATGCCATTAACATCCTGAATAACATTTCCAAGTACATCACTCTCAGTAACAGTTTCAAACTGAACAGTGCCGGCTGGCAAGTGTTTGAGCCTGATGGCACTGTGACGCATATTGCCGAAGAATGTCGGTGGATCCTGCAAGGGATAAATTATAAAACATTGCACACAAACCCACAA